CACTTTTTTCATTTTTCTGGAAATAAATGTCGGCGGGCCCGCTATTCAAGAAAAAAATGATGTGGCCTAATGTTAATAACATCTAATAACAATAATGGTCCATTCGAAAAGTAAATTTTCATTGTACTGGCACCATAAATTAACTCACCATTAACCAAAAATAATTGATCTCGTTCGCAAATAAACCAAATATTTGTCATCATTAAGGGCGTTCATCCCCCCCCCCCATCCGACCACAATTTTAACTCTCTTTCTATAATTTCACCTATATAGCTTGATTTTTAACTTAGAAATACTACTAAAATGTTTCAAATTTCTATTTTTGCTCGATTCACTCACCTACCCTTACCCAATAAAAAGAAGAAATAATACCCGTGTTCATCATCTTACTATCAGCGTTTTCCGCAGGGGTTCGCTTGGTCAAGCATTCTTGCTCCGAGGCCAAGAGCTGCTTAGAAAAAAAAAAATGCTCGAGCCTGAGTAGTGTTGCTAATCCGCTCGAACAATATTAAATGTCGTCTAAAAAAATCTACCTGTCTGATTCACGCAGAGTGCAACCGTATTTGAGAGTTGCCACCTTAGACTCAAACTTGTAGGTTGAGCAGCCTCTATAAAATACATTATGGGGGCCGCCGCGATTAGCACATGTGCGTGATTGTGCAGAGCACTTTGATTGGTTTTGACTAGGTAGGGCACATAGGAGGCATCGGGCTGTGGAACGGCAGAGTTTGGCAGGATGTCCTAAACGCCAACAGTTTTGGCATTGACGGGGAGGCGGTTGATATGGTCGGACAGAGTGGGATTCTCCACCAATGTAGACATTAAAAGGAAGGTCATGTCTACGGAAAGTAATTTTGGTAATGTTGTTTGAGTTCTTAAGATGACCTCTAAGAGGAATAGAGTAGCACTGTACTGATATCACATCACGGTCTTTAAGGTAGCCGAGTAAGTACTCTCCACAATCTGACCAATCGATATCCATAGGGCAGTTTGCTGGGGAGATGGACACAGTTTCGGTATAAGTATTAAGGGTTGGAAGAGGTTCTGTAGGAATGGGATTGCCAGAGAGATCAATTAGAGTTGATAATGCTATAGCTTGGGTTTCAGATGTAATTGAAAGAGACGGTAACGATCGGGTCGGGTACGGAAAGGGACTTTGCATGTTTTTCGACATTGCTGAAAGAGAAGAGTGTTGTCTGAGTAAGAGCTGTGTGTGTGTGGGGGGGGGGGGGATCGCGAAAAATCGGTTACATTTGGCTGGGCTAGAGTATTTAAGATATTTGTAGAACTGATAGAAGGACGGGGACGTGTGGAAGATTGAGTTTTGTTGAGGGAGGTAGTATTAAGGAGAGGTGGAGAATAAGGCTGTAAACTAGTAATAAGGGTGGATGGCATACTTGATGAAGAAGGTTGTGGAGGAAGAGGGGATGACTGAGTCTCGACTTGGGTGGATAATGTACTATTAGACACTGAGGAGTGGGTAGTAGTTGCAGTGTTCAGAGTCGTGGTCGGAGAGTTTGGGATCGGGGAACCGGGGGATTTTGAATTGGTAGGGCTATTTGATGAAGGGGCAAGCCTCATTGCTCCTAACGAGGGTATAACGTCTTCATTATTGGCCATGATAAGCCAGGACTATGTCGGGGATAAACTCTCCACCTCTCAGGGTCCCTCTTGAAGGGTAAGGGCTAGACAACCGTCACAAAGTCAGTCTTTCATCCTTTCAGCACGGGTCTCACACCTTAGTAAGTGAATAGTAGAAAGGGTTGGAGAAGGGACAGAATCGAAAAAAGCAGTAGGGGGAAAAGACCGCGCAAAATTAGTCGAGGGTTAAGGCCCAAAGTATCGGAGATCGCCAGCATTGGGTCCCAGTCCTCGCTTCATAACCCCCCCCCCCCCACGACAATGGTCAAGGGATTAAGGGGGTGTCTAGCTTTAATAATATAGAATTTGGAAGTCTGTTTCCGTGCTTCTTTCTTCAAAAAATATTTGCCATGAAACACGAAACTATTGTGAAACAGGGAATAAGTCCTTGTACTCCATGTTGCTCTCGCGAGAGGTACTGTAAGAAGTGTTATTCAGGCGATGGCCATGTGCGGTCTATTACGGCGGTGCTTTTCGCAGTTGAAACACTATATCTGGCTGGCGACTCGGACACAAGTCAGGACCAGTTGATCCCAAGGTCTATATAAGTACTTACATAGACCTTAGTTGAACCGCGACCCCCACGACAACGAGAAAGGGATGATGGGAGGGGGGATCGTTGCAAATACTAATAAAGGCTGAAATGTTAGAAAAACGTGTAAAAAACACTTGAAAAATCGGTTCATGTTCCAGGCCTTTGTCGAAGTTTCTAGAACCCAATATGGAAATAAGGGACCCCTATTAATCTGGATACTCTTCCAAACATATTTACAATATAGGCCATGCTGTTTAATCACTGAAAATTCTGAACACGTCAAGTTCATTACCGACTAAACATTCTTTCATTTCCATTGAAATTCCTCAGAAAACACATTGAAGTATGTGGATAAATGAAGTTTCTGGAAATCAACCTAAATTTTTAAGTGGGTATCTAAACAATAGTTTCTTTGCATATGCTTTATTTAGACTTACACTGAACACTGTGCGGCAATTTTGGCAACTGTGTGGGTACAGAAAGGCTGGGAGAGTCTCACAGCTCATAGGTAGGGACTGAATCTTCCTTTGTACAGGATGTTCAAGATGTTTCAAAGAACGAATTCTTAAAGTATTTTGTAGGGAAATGTTTCTTGTTATTTGGTATTCCCACTGACAAGGATCCATTGCATCTTAGTGTAGATGGAGAAAAGGCTGGCAATACTGCCCATTTGAGAAATCTATGTTATCTACACAAACACTCCATATATACATTGTTAATATATTCTTGTTTTCATGACAACTGGGCCATTAAGTTGTAAAATGACAGGAAAGCTCTTAAACAATCTATGGAGAACTTAGGAAGACTGCAAAATCTTAAGTGTTGCCTGTTACTGGATCTTGGTTGGTATAAAATACTTTTGATATTACTATTGCTGACAACTGTGTGGAACTAGTTCAACACAGAAGGAAATGGATTTGCAGCCTGATTGAACACATCAAGCTTTGACTGACAAGACCTAATTGTGGTCTATTTGGAGTTTAATTACAATGACACTTACAGGACTCCCACAACTTTTTTTATGGCTCATAGTTGCACAAAAGCACTTTTTTTACAAATAGCATACATAGCTAATAATTTCTTTTAAACAACTCTTCCGAAAAATAGTTTAAGGTAAGTGAATTTAAGGCATGATTCTCTCTTAGAACTATTCATATTCACTGTTTTTAGAAGTAAATTATAGGTACATAATTTTCTCTCATAGACCATGACAAAAATAATTTCCATTCATTCACTTGCCTGGAATGAAAATCAACAGGATCAGATTTATTTAGTGTACAAGAAAAGTTAAATACCCTGTAAATGCCACAAGGACATGATATGTGCAGCAGGACAGGCACGCAGGCATTGCACACTATGAAGTATAGAGCATTTTCAACCCAATGGTCTTAAAAAAAAAAAGTGAAACTTTTCCCTCAAAATAACACATGAATATTGCAATTGCTATTTTAACTTATACCATTAAAATGAAAATTTTATATATTCTCAATATTACTGGCAATTAAATTAATTTGCTTTTTGTAGTGCATGTGCATGCAAGTGTAAATTTTATGTGTATGTTTGTGGAAAATATTTTTAAAATAAAATTATAAAAAAATAAAATATTTGTTTATAATGTTTATATACTAACTTAAAAAAAACTTCCTATACAGCATTGACTACAAAGTCACTACTGCTGGGTATTTTATTCCCGCCATTAGTTAAAATAAGTTAATGAAAACCATTTTGTTGAATATCCCAATGTTCTTTGCAAAACATATAAGATAGTACTTTAGAAATCAAGTCCCTTTTTGTAGCAAAGGCTCGTATACTTACATGTCTCTTTTGTAAATAATATCAGATTGAAAAAGAAAAGAAAAGAATAGAAAAGAAAAGAAAAGAAAAGAAAAGAAAAAAAAAAGAGAAAGAGAAAAGAAAAAAGTCAAACATACACAGAGCACATTCGAGCAAATATACCGACTAGTAACTCCCGTGAAGAGTATGCACGCCACTGTTTGCCTTAACTATTGTGCAGTAACAAAATACATAAATACTAATATGTCTGAATATTTTCCACAATATTTTAAATCACTTTCTACATTTAGTCAATTCAAAAAATAAGCAAAAAATATCTTCAAATGTGCAAGAACAACCAACATATTTCCATCTGAACACAAATAGTGCTTCCTATATGAAAAAAGAAAGCTATATATCAGTTTTATTCAGCATAAGTTCCTATTTAAATATATCTAGGTACTATATGGCAAAACTCTAGTATCAATATAACTCTACTGACTAAAACTAAGAACAATATAGGAACACCAAACATGGAGCATTTGTAGCTTATATAACAAAATACAGTAATATTATATAATATTATACTGCCTCTAAGCAAACACGCAGATGCTGAAATCTCAATAGCAAGGGTTCATTGGTGTATGTACAATCACAAGCTCTATTGGAGTGGTTAGTCTTGTCAACAAAAATCAAAGCATGTAGCTGCATAACAACTCTTTATGGAAGGAAATAATGTACAGAATCTGAAGGTTCTTAAAGTAACAAATAGCACAACAAATATTTTGACTTTCTGGAATAAATTCAAACACTGTTCATGCTCCTTTAACTCTCCAGAGCTAACAGAATACAATCACTAATCACTCAAGGTACAATGAAACACTTGGCCTTGCTTGGCACTAATACTACCATATTTTATAAGCAGTCAGCATCGCATCAGTGGCTCATCACATTCACAATTAGACACAACTTTGTACTTCTTCCAAAAAATAATTGAAGTTAAGGAATATTTGCAGGATTATAAAGTTCACTTTATAATAAATTTCTGTCCAAATGGACAAGAGGAAAATGGCACTTAAATAATTTGTTAACTTTTGGGCACATATGAGATTCAGAAAGGCATCATCTTTAACAACATGTTGCCATATTTACATTTACTTCACACACTGCCAAAAGTTCATACTTTTGTAATCATGACTTATAACATTATGCACTCTTCATCACTTGACTTAATGTTCATGGCACATCAGAGTTTCTGCAATATTTACTTCACTGTAAGTCAAGGATGACATACCTGACTAGCTTAGAAATATTACCAAAGGAAAAGAGGAACAATGTGCCTGTGTTCAACAAGCAGTGCCCGTCAATGCTTCTTCCATCGACATACTTTACCCAACTTTAAACAGATAAATTGATTACAACTGATCTTCGCATTACACAGTGGTCTTACATGGTTAATTTGTAAAGCAGATCATTTCTTTCACAGTCAATGAGCTGAACATATCAGAGAATATAATGTGTACTACTTTCTGTTAATGAGCAGCTCAAAAATAACAAAATAACAATGATTCAGAAGCCATAACATCAACATTCTCATGATGAAGCTAAAGGAATTGTAAACAAGAACATTCTTATTCTATGCACATATAACATATATGTATATATATGTATGTATATAATGTCTGTCTATACACACACCTGTCAAACAGTCACACTTGGCAAGCTTATTCTCTTGAAAGTTGTACTGGAATATGGGTGGGCTTTATAGGTTTCTGAAGCAAGTGCTATGCAGATGCTGTCTCACTTACAGACCCCAAGTTTTCATTGACATCTCTTCCACCCTGACCGGATTCCTCATCATGAAATACATACGGGCCATTGTGCTTATGACTAACTGAATCTGTGTTTTCACTAGGATTCTGCGACACATTCACCTGCGACTCTTGGAACATCAAATCAACCTTATGCACAGTTCTGATGTCACCTTTCACTTCCACTGTGGATGATTTGGAATATCCTTGGTCCTCAATTTTCTCTGCTGCTGGAATATTAGTTGGTTTTTCTTTGGTTCCTTGGCCATTGTTGATGTCTTTAGTTGACGCATCATTTGAAGGTTGGAGATCCAAGTCTCCCTTTGTCTCACACTTATCAGAAGCTGATGGTTCCTCTACCAGAGACTCGCCAGTCTCCACTAACATTATCTCATCTTCATAATCTGTAAAGAGAGATGATATTATTAGAAACAATATAATGACTAGGTGTAAGAGATAATTCAGCATATCAATTCTCACTATAGACTTTTTTCATTTCTTAATCTAACCAGTACATTATTGTAATTCAAAATTATAAATATACTAAATATGAATAATCACAATCTTTGTGTTGAAGGATCAAATTTTTAGATGAAGAAATCAGAAGAAATATTCCATATATTATTCTTTTGGATAATATCCCATATAAGAATTTTCTTATAGTCATGATGATTCATGACTCTCAGTATCTGTGTACTGAGGGAATCACTTCCAATCAATGCTATACTGCTACTAGTAAACATCTGCATTTTTTCCATCCAAAGTATTTAATTTATATGCCCTTTGCAAACCAATTCATCAACATAATCATCCATATTTTTTTCCTGAATATATGAATTTGCAAGTACTATTAGACAGAGATACAGTAAGTCCTTAAAAAATGCTAAAATATATAATACTTCTTGGTAAACACTGTTGCTGTGTTTATGGCCTACAGTCTAGAAGAGAGTCATCCAAAATATCAAAAACAAGGACATCCTCCTCACTTCCTACACTAACTTGTGTCATAGTTGTTCCTCATTTTATTTACTTCCCCAGTTTTCCATATAATCACAGAAGTGGTATTACCTAAATGTTCTTCACCAATAACAGTGGAGAGTGTTTCCCAAATGACTCCTTGTAAATCAAAGATGCCAGATATTTTTAAACTAAAAGATTTACAACTCATTTTGGAACACATCCCCTCATCATCGTAGATGTTCCAAAAAGTGAAGCATATTACAAAGTAATTTCAATAGATGCCTGCCCAGAACATTTTGCGTAGTTAACATTAACAGTCACCGATTTGTACTTGACAACTTGCAGGAGGACTTACTGCATTTTACTTTATATCAAACTACAAATATTTGCAATTATTTTCTTTCATTAATTCCTTATTTTCCATTCTGCCACATTTGAAAAAATACATTTGTAACTGGTTTCAGACTCTGCTGGTACATCTCACTACTATACTTTGACAACAATTATTTAATTGTACCATCAATTTTAGCCACAGTTATTGAGTCTGTCACTTGTGTCATTCCGAATTTGTATAATAACCTACATAGGCACACCACCACTTCACACATTCAGAAAATTCTGGGTTCACATACCAGAATGATCCTCAGGACCAAGTGTGAAACGAGGAGTCCTCCGTCTACGACCTCGTCTTGTGGCTTTTTTCAACCTCGCTAGACTCGCTCTTGTAAGTTTGCCTCTCCCCCGCCCTCTACCTCTATTATGCTTTCGTCCACGTACTCTAGGGCGCGGAGAAGGTGTCGATGGTGGTGAAGGAACATCGGATGCTTCAGACACCAAATCATCATCATCCTCTTCATCCTCTTCCACTTCCTCCAAGTCCTCCTCACCTTCCTCAGTAGCCAAGCGAGATGGTTGCTCTTCTTCTGCGACACCGGGCGTGTCTATGGTGACAGGAACATCGACAGGAACTTCCAGTGCCTCTCTTTCAGAAATGTCTGGTTCAGGAGTAACACTGATAAGGGGTATGGATTCAACTTTGGTAATTGGCCCTGGCTCACCCATTCCTGCTTTTGCACTGATGCTCTCTAAAAGGCTTCTGACCTGGAAAACAAACATTTAATTTATATATAGCCAAAGATTAAGATGACTATTTAACTGATATCACCCAAAATTAACTGATATCACCCAAAATGATTACCCTGGTGAATTCAGCTGTTGTTTTTTTATGTAAATATTTCATGACAAAATCATCTTTGTAGAAATAAACTGGGATACAATTCTGTTTATTATGTATACACACATAGTGTATCTAAGAATGTGTTTTACTATGTAATGGCTCCAAGATATATAAAAAAATCTTGAATTTTTCAGCTAAAGAGAGTAACATACAGAACCATGGAAAAAACAGAGAAACGTACAGCCATCAGATCACAACTGTTCCCTAATTACGTAACAGAGCTATAGTATCTTTTCCTGTGATAAATTACCTGTGACATGGCGTTGCTATCTTCTCCTTCTGTCACGCCATCAGTCTCATCTATCTGTTCAATTTCTTCTATACTTTCGGTTTCTTCCAGGTGTTCTCTGCTCATTGGGCTCACTTCACACTCTAAATGAATAGCTCCTTCTGGGGCGCATGCTAGATGGGAGAGGGTTTCCTGGGCAATGTGCTGCTCATCATACGTTAGTTTTGACCGATTTGACAACTTCAGTGCTTGCAGTCGGGGAGTAAACGCACAACTGCTTCACACATTTCTGAAATGAACAAAAGCAACATACCTCACACAACAATCTCACCATATACAGTAACAAAATGTACACTTATTAAGATTCAAAGATCTCTGAGATTCCTGGTTACTAACACAAGAAACAATAAATACAAACCTGTCTATATCTTCCGGGCCCTCCAAACTTTGGCATATCTTCACAGTACAAGCAGTTCCCACAGGGCGTTGTGGTAAGACAACCTGGGCATTCTCCGCAGTAGTATTTGGTTCGTACCTGCGATTTAGCAAATGAGGTTTAGAATATTTATTTTTTCTACAGAGATGTATAACTGAGAACAAAACAGATTGAACAACAGCCACTGCTTTAACAAAGACTTAGAACAAATCATTAACCAAGGCACAAATAAATAAAAATATAATAAAAAATATTAGTCCCCATAATAGAATGCTGAAGTTACTAAAAACAAATAAAAACAAGTGTTAAATAAACAAAATAAAATAATGAATAAAAAAAATAAAAAAAAGAAGAAAGACACAAAGTCAAAGAAAGGAGGAAACCATATAGATAACACCAGCAGTGCCTGCTGCCACCGACCTTTGATGGGGCTTACCGGCTGTAGGCTGGGCAATTTTTCTTAAGCATCTTCCGCATTAATTTCTCTTGTCATTTATGGGTACTAGGCTGGCCATCTGAGTAGGACTAGAGGTGCCGGAGTCATGCCCAGACTTTCTGCCATGAGCGAGTCGGTTGAGTAAGCGAGGGTTCCCGCCCAACACTGAGAGCTGCGCGCGCACTTCTCCATCTGCTGCTGCTCGCAAACCCGCATCTCACAAACTGGGGTGGAAAGAACTGTGTTGAACTTTCCAGGTCAAAGTTTCTATAATTCCCTCAATGTATATTTATAAGAATAAATGGTCTAAACATCTCCTCCTAAAAGCGGATACGGAATCGAAAGACTGGAGAAATATTGACAATATCAGAAAACTTAACAAATCCACAAATCCTTACGGAAGATGTAATTTTTCATGCTGATTATAAACACTTCGCAAACGAATACCATATGGATATGGAGTAAGATTTGCTTAAATTTCTTTTCGCTATCGTTACATACCAAAATGGCCCATCTTTTCAACTTCGGAGTAGGAAGAACATAAAACTTCTTGCCTTCCTACCTTGCCTCTTACACGATTCCAGCCACACACAACACACACACAACACAACAACAAACCCAACAAAAAAAAACCGAATTACCTTTCTCCGCGCTGGTGGCTGTGCTGCGTTGTGGAGACAAGATGTAGCACTCGCACGCAGTCGCTCTGCTGTGACACCCATCGCAGCCGCCACATCTTCCTCGCACCTTTTTCCACCACTGTGACTGTTTGGTCACAATTTAAAGGTAAGTACAATAAGAACTTTAAATGATGCTTTTCTAATATATTTATTTTGAATTTTTCTTGCACTATAACATGCAAGTCATTTTTTTCTACAGACTTACATGTAAGCTCTTATACAATTCTTAATTCTAAATGTCTACGGCTATATAATACATGGCTATTATACAGTATATTTTTACCTTCCGTCTTTTCTTTGAGTCTTCGGGCTCCATCTCACGCAGACACATCTCTTCTATTAGGAGTCCCTCCAAAGACACATCTTTTATAGACACAAACTTGCTTTAGTCTGTTAGGACCTCCAAACTTTGCCTTGTCACGGCAAAACCTACATTGGCCACAGTCTTCAACTACTTGACAACCTTCACACTCTCCGCATCCTTTCCGTTTTCTCCCCATCTGTAAGGAACCATGAACGAAAAGATTGAGTCATACTAGTTCCATATGTTTAATCTAGCGAAGAACTTGCTTATTTCACGATTAAAAACAAGACAAAATCACGACTAATAATATCTTTCTCATTCAGTGAATCCCGTGAATCCTACATGTCTGGTTGTCACTAAAATTACTTACATGGCCAGCATGATAGAGAGTTTTCCGCGCATGTACATGGCAGCGATTAATTCCAGGAATTTCGTCCACAACTTCAATTCCAATGTCTTCACATGTTTCCACAAGCTCTGCAGCCAGCTTGCTTGAATCCTGAAGAGCAAAAATCGTCTTAACCAACTATACATACCAGGGGTTGTAATCATGATATGTACATTTTTTTACTTTTGTTATTAACAAACTTCACTCACCTGCAGTGCACCCTGAGAATCAGGAGAGAGGTCAGTGATAGCTTTGATATCACTTTGTGACTGAGCGAGTCCACTTAATGCTGATCCGGAACTCATGAGAAGCAGAGGAAGACTGCTGCCGTCTAAAGTGCTGCTCTGACTTGAAAGCGAAACGATGCCACTGTGGGCCAGTCCAGCTGCCACACTAACACTAGGCAAACCATCTTCATTGCTTCCCACCACATCAATTGCACCATCCACAGAATTGTGACACAAGGTAGTAGGACCATTAGCAATTACATCCGTTACGGGTGTCGTTTGAGATACTGGAATTATTTTTTCATCATCGTCCACAGTAACACAAAGAGCTGAAGGCTGAGTAATACTGCCGTTTGCAGAAGTAACTGGCACACTAGAATCCTCTACGGTAACCACATCTGGAGACTCACTCCTTGTAGTTGTTGCACTACTACTCAAGTTAAGGGCCACATGAGGTTCATCAGAGGAAGCTTGTACTGAGTTTGCATCATTTGTATTTGGTACAGAACTTGTATTTCCATCACAGAATTCACTTGAAGGTGGCACTGGCGATGTCTGTGATTTCTTGCCACCAGAGGAAATGGCACTTCCACTAGCTAACGAGCTTTCAGTTGATACAGGTGCAAGGAAAGGGAAGAGGGATGGAAAACTCTGCAGACTTGATAGATTATGGAGACCAGCCAAGTTCTGGAGGCTGCTAGAGCTGCTAAGACTGGACATATTATGCAGATTGTTAAAACCAGCAAGTGTAGCTAATTGTGGATTTAATTTCAACTGTTCATATACTTCCTTGGCAACTTCTGGGGTCATTATTCCACCTTTTAGGGTGTACAATAATGGTAGGCTGTGCTGACTAGACTTTCTGTTGTTATTACTGTTACTGCTACTATTAGGTCTGCTGATACTTCTCCCACTGCAGCTACTCTTGCTGGAACTTCTGCTCCTATTACTCCCAAAGTTAGGAGAGCTTTTGCTCTTGGATGGAGAAGTGGGAACAGAGGGGTGTTGGGCTGCAAGAGAAGCTAATGTCGAAGAAGTAGCAAGAGATGCAAGGGCCGACTGCGACATCATTGAAGGTAAGCTGGATGGTGTCAAAGACGTGAGGAGACCTGACATACTGCCCGCAGGCATTGCTGATGCCAAGGATGACAGGGTACTAAGGTTAATATCTGACTGGGATGCAATACTTGAAGACGATAAGCTGCATGATGTCGTGGTGGTGGAAGATGTAGAACTCAGTGAAGAAGTATAAGGTGATGACACTGAGGAAGTGCTGTACGCGGAGGAAATTGAGGAAGTGCTGGAAGGAGAGTGACTCTTGTTAGGCTTTGACAAGTTAAGAGGTCTGAGAGGAGTGCCCGAAGAATCAAATCCTAAATCAGCAATGGAGTACGCTGACTGGGTGGAGAACACTGTTCGCAGAGGATCTGCCTTGGTGAGCAGTTCACCCAAGATTCCCCCTCGGGGGTCAGGGGGAGGCACTCTAGAGGAGTCTAGGAGAGGCACTCGGGGAGACTCTGGGGGAGGCACATGGGGAGGATCCTGGGGAGGCACATGAGTGGGATCAGGGATGTCAGATGGTGCCAAATGATTCACATTCAGTTTCTGGTACAGAATTTGGTCCAACCGATTGCTGCGGATTTTCTTGCCCGTCTTTTCGAACCGCAATTCCTGGCCCGAGCCTGGGGCCAGCGACGTGTACCCACTATTGGGCCTCAAAGAGGAGTAAGCCTTGGACACGTCCAGGAGAGATCCACCTTGAGCAAGAAGTGTTTTCTGTAGGACGGTTGCCAAATCATCCATCTTCAAAAGTTTGGCGGCTTCTGTGAGGTTATACAAACTT